TGTTGAAGTTTGTGATTGAATCAATCTGTTCTTAGGAGATAGGTAGAGATCTTCGTCGACAAACGTCGACATTCCCTAGGCCGCTAGGGTTCACCTTTCGCGGAAAAGTTGGATCTCGTTGTTTGAACGAAATACAGAGCAATTAAAAGGTTAGTTGAAGTGAATCGATACCAATTATTTGTATCTGTTGGATATCCGTTTGGTACCATCACTACGATTCGATTCTGTAGATTGTGAAAATGAGTAAAAATACTAATTGCAGGTTAAGGATTGAACTCGGTCGATCTGTCTAGCATTTTTATTCAATGTATGAACTGATTCTGGGTTTAATGTTCTTCAAGATTTGAGCTTTGTTTTTAAACCTTTTGTTCGTTTCATTTTGTATTGTGTTTTTGGTATGTTCTTAATGTTAATATCGCATGTCATGGACACACTTTATATATGTCAAATCAAAGTATATTATTGTCTTAATGATTGAGTTATTTATATTAGACAAACACTTACACAACACAAAAGTTCATAATTTATGAACTTTGAAACTATTAGAGCTTACGGAGGATGAGATGAGCTCCATGTTGTGGTTGAACAGTGACATTTGAAGCAGGGGCGTGAGTATAATATGGGGAAAGTTGGAAGGAGAAGCGCTGCAAAATCATTGATAGTGCTATTTTTGCTTCAATCATGGCGAAGTTTTGACCAACACAAATTCGAGGACCCCATCCAAATGGTAGGAAGCAAACTTTATTGTTCGTTGCTTTGGAAATTCCTTCTGAAAACCTCTTTGGCTTGAACTCATCTGCATCTTCACCCCATATTTGGTGATCGTGGTGGATATGAATGATTGGTATACCTATTGACACCCCACCCGGCAATAATAAGTTTCCAAGCTTTGTTTCCTTGTGTATTCCTCGAGCTAAGATCCCAACGGGAGGATATAACCTAAGAACTTCATATAGTATCATACTCACCTGTTCCAAACATCAACATGTTCAATTATATCAGAAAGTAACCAAAACATACCCGATCGAAACTACTTTAAAGTGATTGCTCTCTTTGGTTTTTCTTTTTTGGTGGGCTCCCCTCAAGGCCTTGAGACGCTAGGGAGAGAGAGGTTTCGGGCTTTCCCTCAAGGCTTTAAGACGCTAGGGAGAGAGAGGTTTCGGGCTTTCCTCAAGGCTTTAGGACGCTAGGGAGAGAGGTTTGGGGCTTTCCCCAAGGCTTTAGGACGCTTGGGAGAGAGGTTTGGGGCTTTCCCCAAGGCTTTAGGACGCTAGGGAGAGAGGTTTGGGGCTTTCCCCAAGGCTTTAGGACGCTAGGGAGAGAGGTTTGGGGCTTTCCCCAAGGCTTTTTGACGCTAGGGAGAGAGGTTTGGGGCTTTCCCCAAGGCTTTAGGACGCTAGGGAGAGGTTTGGGGCTTTCCCCAAGGCTTTTTGACGCTAGGGAGAGAGGTTTGGGGCTTTCCCCAAGGCTTTAGGACGCTAGGGAGAGAGGTTTGGGGCTTTCCCCAAGGCTTTAGGACGCTAGGGAGAGAGGTTTGGGGCTTTCCCCAAGGCTTTAGGATGCTAGGGAGAGAGGTTTGGGGCTTTCCCCAAGGCTTTTTGACGCTAGGGAGAGAGGTTTGGGGCTTTCCCCAAGGCTTTAGGACGCTAGGGAGAGAGGTTTGGGGCTTCTCCCAAGGCTTTAGGACGCTAGGGAGAGAGGTTTGGGGCTTCTCCCAAGGCTTTAGGACGCTAGGGGGAGAGGTTTGGGGCTTCTCCCAAGGCTTTAGGACGCTAGGGGGAGAGGTTTGGGGCTTCTCCCAAGGCTTTAGGACGCTAGGGGGAGAGGTTTGGGGCTTCTCCCAAGGCTTTAGGACGCTAGGGGGAGAGGTTTGGGGCTTCTCCCAAGGCTTTAGGACGCTAGGGGGAGAGGTTTGGGGCTTCTCCCAAGGCTTTAGGACGCTAGGGGGAGAGGTTTGGGGCTTCTCCCAAGGCTTTAAGACGCTAGGGGGAGAGGTTTGGGGCTTCTCCCAAGGCTTTAAAGACACTAGGGGAGAGGTTTGGGGCTTCTCCCAAGGCTTTAAAGACACTAGGGGGAGAGGTTTGGGGCTTCTCCCAAGACTTTAAGACGCTAGGGGGAGAGGTTTGGGGCTTCTCCCCAGGCTTTAAGGGGGAGAGGTAGGCTTTAAGATGCTAGGGAGAGAGGTTTCGGGCTTCTCCCAAGGCTTTAAGACGCTAGGGAGAGAGGTTTTGGACTTCTCCCAAGGCTTTAAGACGCTAGGGAGAGCGGTTTCGGGCTTCCCTCAAGGCTTTAAGATGCCAGGGGAGAGGTTTCGGGCTTCCCCCAAGGCTTTAAGATGCCAGGGGAGAGGTTTACACTCTTATTAAAAGAAAATGATTTCTTGGTCTTGAGAAACTTAAACCATAGCTACATACTACTTTGAGATGACTTATAAAAAAAGTGCACTAGGATCACTTAACGTTCTTGAACTAAATGAAAAAGCTATTACTCATACTACTTACTACTTTGAGACGACTTAAACCATCGAAATCCACTTTCTTGTCTTCACCAAAAACATTGAGCACTTCCGCTCTTGCTTGATCTTGCCATTCTGAATACCGACCAAGTAGAACCATTGTCCAAACAAGCAACGAGGCGGTTGTTTCTTGGCCAGCAAAATAAAAAAGCTTGCACTCACTAATGATATCTTCCATGGACATCCCAACAGCATCTTTCTTATTTTCTTCCAAAAGGATCCCTAGAAGATCAGCATTATTAGAAACTTGAGCAGCCTCCATAGCCATTTGTCTCTTGCTTATAATTCCCCAAACCATACTATTTATTTCTCTATTAACCTCCTCCATCTTTCTATTCATCTGGGTTGGTACAAACCTAAAGTAAATGAAGAACTAATTAAAAACACACACAAAAGCTCAAATTTAAATCCGAACTTTCATTCAAATCTTACCTCCACTCAGGAATGTTATATATAGACTCCCTTTGTTAGGCGTGCTACCAATAAAGAAACCCAGGTTTTCAAGAACTGGAAGATCTTCTTTCCTTCCTCATAGCTACTCCCAAATGCTGTTTGAGATATCGAATCTGCAGTCATATTCTGCAAATCAGGCCAAACATCTAACTCGAAATGCCCTTCTTCCTCGGAGACCATCACTTCCCATTTCTTAATCATCCCATTACAACTCTCCAAGAACGCTGGAAACATGTCCTGCAAACACCGCCATATTAGACTTAAGCTGTCTTGGTCGTCTTGCGTGCTGCTATCTTAACTATTCTCATAAGACAACTGCTTGAAAAAAGAGAGATCGAGAGGAGTAGTAGACCTTCAACTTCTCGGTATGAAAGGCGGGATTGATGATCTTCCTATGTTTAGCCCATTTAGATCCCTCGAGAGAGACAAGTCCGCCACTTCCAAGACTTCTTGCAGGAGGAAATAAAGGGGCTTTAGGAATGTCATTGATGAGAGAAAAGATAGTCTTAAGTTGTTCAGGGTCTGTTATATACACTCTTGGAGTTGGTCCAACCCAAGCAAAACAATTCTTACCTACAAATATAACTGCGTTAAGAACACAAGCCAACCAAGTATACACATAGATACGAATGGCCAATGAATATATATATATACCCATGATGAACATGAGTTTAATACCATTTTGTTTTTTTTTTTTGTTTTAAATTAAAATGTAGGCCAAAATTTGAGTTGATGGAATTTAACTAAAAACTCAAATAATTCAATTTAAAAAATAAAGATTATCCCAAAAGAATGGGGCATGCGACCACCCGAATCCAGCTAGGGCAATACAAAATCGACAAAAACGGAAGAGGTTACCATATTTATTGATGGTGAGGTGCGAGGAAGGGAGGGCGCGATGAGCGATATGATGAGATCAGTTCATGGACTGCGATCTGGCTTCGCGAATCGCCGTCGCCATGTCTTTCGAATCACCAAAGAGAAGGCGATAGGGATTTCCGGCAAGGCCCTGCTCTCTTAACTGCTTCTCGAGCTTCTTCGGTTTCAGCCAAATCCAGTTCAGGAACCTCCATCCCCATACCACAACACAACCTACCAGAATGCTGATTGTAATCGCAGCGCCGATCGTCATGCTCATTTCGAGTTGCAGAGCGACCGGAAGATGGAGAAACGGAATGATATAAATCAAGTTTTACAATTTGGTTCCTACGTATTTATTATTATTATTATTATTATTATTATTATCTCTTATTATTATCATTTATAACTCTTGTTATTATCATTATTAATATATTTCAGGAAGCCGGAGAGATTTCTCACCCATAAATTTCATACATTCGCAGCAAAACTAATTTATTATATATTTATTTACTTCTATATTCATTTAATACTTAATTTTTTTTAATTTTCTGATTAAAAATTTGAGACTTTTTGTTAAATACATATTATATTTTTTATTTTTTATTTTTTAAAATAGAAAATATCATTTAAAAAATTATTGGAAATAAATAATATTTGGAAAAAAAAAAAGAAAAAAAAACTCAATAAACTCCATCTTGGTCCAAAGAGGGCAACCCGGCCCCGGAGGGATGGATTTGGTGGTGGTTCCACATCAATTGGAGAAAGGAACGTGTGACAGTGAAGTACACTGACAGTGAAGTACACGCGCTAGGCCCTGAAGGGGATAATTGTAATATCCCACATTGGTTGGGAGGAGAACGAAACATCTTTTGTAATAATGTGGAAACTTTTTTCTAGCAGATGCGTAATGAGAAAGTCCATAAGAAAAAGCCAAAATCGGGAAAACCTAAAGAGGTCAATATCTGGATAAGCTTTTGTTCTACTGTGTAATTTGAAAGACACATTTTAAAGCCTTGAGAGAGTCCGAAAGGGAAAGTCCAAAGAGGGCAAAAATAGAGAGGGAAACAGATAAGCAAGCAACCAAACAAATCATTTTGTAAGCTGAGAGATAATTCATTTGTACATGTAATTTTATTTTTATTTCTGGAATTACCACCTTTTGGCCTGTAGATTAGATTATAATTCTTGTTTTTAGCAAGCACAAAGAATCAGAGCTCACAGAATCAAGAAGAAGCTGGATGTTGCAGCCCACACACCAAATTTGCTGGAACTGCCATGTCCATCACCTTCGGATATGCCAGATTCAAATCTGTAAACGACAACCAATTAACTTGTTCTTATATCAGAGCCCATCACTTTACACTATGCTTAAAATTTTTGTTTCATGTATACTTACTTTCCATGATTTTCTTGAATTCTTCCTGCAAAACAGAATCAAACCCAGCTACAGAGTTATCAACTTTAGATGTAAAGGTAATTTTCCAGATGAGTGATTTTAGTTTTAGTCAAGAAAATTACCAGATCCTTGGAAAGCCGTGGATTGTGTTCGATCTCTTCGCCTACGGAACTAACCTGAAATCATACGTCGGATATAAGGGACTGACTGAACCGTGTTTCGACGATGGAGAAATTTCCTTACGCTAAATCCTGTGTAATCGTGAGCGGGATAGATCAACGTGTCCTTTGGCAGGGTGAAGATCTGGCACAAAGAGTTCATAATCAGAGCATGAAAAGCATAATCTGTCCTTACTGTTCCTTGTTTTGATTGTTCTTTTCAAATACACAAAGGACTAAGTATCATTTCCTAACCTGCGAGTGTACAGATTCATAGAGCTGCTTTGAACTTCCACCCTGCAGAAAAGACACTGGTGTTCAGCATTGTGGCAACAAAGGTCAATTCTTCAAATGTGAAAGAGGAGAATACAGGACTAAGCACTAGGAATCCAATAATATCGATTTGACAAGTTTCTAGTCGACTCGTTAGATTGAAATTGTTGAACTTGTAGAAAAAACGTGCTAACGGTAAAGGTTGTGATTAGTTAAGAAAACGTTTTATGTGATTAGTTTTATAAATGGTTGCAGCTACCCCACAAGACGAGGCAAAGGTTTTCAGGTCGTTGTTGTGAGATGAAAACGACACCAGCTTCCATTATCGCTCAACCTTTATATAACTAAACAAAAAACCATATGTGCCCAAGTTCACCGATAACAGACATTGTTCTCTTTGAGCTTTCCCTTAAGAGCTTACCCTTAAGGTTTTAAAATGTGTTTGCTAGGGAGAGGTTTCCACCCCCTTATAAAGAATGCTTCATTCCACTCTCCCGCCGATATGAGATCTCATACCATGTAACATGGGGTCGATACCAAAGAAGTTTTGGACGATCTGTTAATGTACAGAGAATCACAAGCCAGAGGGAAAATGACAGCCAAAGTGTTGTACTGGGATTTTCTTATCTAAAAGACCAATACTTTGGAACTAGAGTATTACCAATACCATCATTCATCAACAATTGATCAATAGGTCAAAAAGGTGAAAGCTACCTGAAAATCGGTCCTCCCACATCCACGTATCAGCAGAGCGTCCCCAGTAAATGCCATCCTAGGATGGGGCTGATCGGGTTCGTCCCCTGTTACATACGTGACACAGCCTGATGTGTGGCCAGGAGTCGCCCGAACCTGAAGTTCCATGCAAGATAAAGTTGAGTCAAGAGTTAACTCCAGGATTAATCTATCATTTTTATCGACATTTTAGTCCTTGGCTATACTTAATGATGAACCCTCCTGGCACAAAAATCGACTTCCTTTCTGCATTGCATTTTTCATTCTCAAGCCCCACAAAAGTATGTTCATAGCGGATTGTTCCAACACTGAAACGCTGAAGGATAAATGATAATTGGTGTTTACTCTTTAAGAACTCATGAGCATTGTCAGTAGTAATCTATAAAACATGAAATTCTAAGGCAGCTCTTGTCCTGAATATTTCAACCACCTTGACGGGCCGAGGAGGTTCCGTGGTATATAATATGTCATGATCAGCAAGCATCAAACCCACCACTAATAGATATTGTTCGTTTTAGTCCGTTATGTATCACCGTCAGCCTTACGATTTTAAAACACGTCTACTAGAGAAAATTTTGTTAGATGTTCAATATGAGAGACACTCGCCCAGCTATTCAAAGTTTAGAAATCAATACAAATATTAGAGGAGCTATATTATGTCGATGAACCTTCACCAGTTCTATGTAATGGCAAAGCTGAATCGAAAGTATTGGCATACCTCCAGGAATAGATCACCAAAAGAAATTCTATCGCCAGGTTCAATCAACAGATCAGCTTTTGAACCACTAGCTCTTGAGATCACAGATTTTGCTCCTGGAACTTTAGTCTAAAGGAAATGATCACATCAACTGGAAGTGAGAAAACAGGAACAAAAATAATGATGGAGAAGAAGAAAAAAACCTTGATGAGGCCAGTGCCAGTGATATGATCGGCGTGCACATGAGTGTTCATAGCGTATACAAGCTTCAATCCCAATTCTCTTATAAGGTTTAGATCCCTATCTACAGTCTTATCAACCGGGTCAATCAACTGAAGGTAGAAATAATTCAACAAATCACAGGAAAAAAGGAACCCATCAATGGTTTTTACCAAAGTTTTCAACCCAAACATTGATGAATGAAAAGAAAACTAAACTCATCACACATTTCGTCAAAGAACAACCAAAATTCAAGTGAAATTCAAACACCGAATCACTAAAACAAAACATAGAAAAGAGAGGGAGGGAGATTACGATCGCCGATTTGTCAGGATGGGAAACATTAGCGAGAAGATACGTGTAGGTGGAAGATTCCTTCTCGAACAATTGACGGAACAAGAGCTTAGACGAGGAAGATGATGGCGAAGACCGCATTTGGGAACTGAAATTCTTGGCGGGAATTTTGGAAATGGGTTTCAGAGGAAGAAGATGAAAGAATAGAAGATTGGGAGAAAATCGAGGAATTCGTAAGAATCGAATGCTTTGCATCGCGCTTTGTTTTTGGATTCAAACTCGATTGTTGGAACGTGGGGAAGGATAGTAATGATGTAGTGAATTGTTTATGGGAAATGGATATAGAATGGATGATGCGTCGGGTACAGATTTTGGAAGCTTTGGCTCATCCGTCCTGGCGCCATTTGTTGCCGCCCCTGGTTTTGCTTTTGCCCGGAACAAATCGGAGTGATTGAACACGATGGCCCGGCTACCATTTATGAACAATTGTTCAACTTCAATACGTATTAATTCAACCAAATAATTGCTTGGTTTCAATATTAGGTTTACAAGATGATCCATTTGATTAAAACTGTTGATCGGATTGAACCAAGACAAGATCACTAGATCACAAGGGCACTGGATTGGACATTCATTAATTGGCTTTAAATGATCGATTGTTATTTAAATCTCTTTTAGAGCTTTTGTTGATCACGCCAGATTGAATTTAACCAAGATTTCTCACATGGGTGGTCGTTCTAGAACGCTCCCCTTCTATGATGAGGTCGAGGTAACTTCATCATTGGAAGGAGGATTGAGGATACACAGATTAATTGGGAGAAGAGCATGATCTCTAAAGAGAAGTTGTACCTTTACTAATTTTCTCATTTCTTAGCATGAAATAAGTTAAAAAAGGTGAACTAAATTGGACCAAGCATGGGTTCATGGACTCAAGACATGCATGATACATGTTCCTTTAAAAGGTGTTGACCATAAAGCTCGACCTCCGCAAGGTGAAGTGGGATTTGGGCTCTAGTCTAACCTCTTTTCCTTTGCCTCTGAAGCTCGGGTGTTTTGTAGTTTCTCGAAATGTATCTCATATTTGACATTTTTTTTTCATTATTAAACATCTTTTAAAAAAAAAAACACTTTTATAAGCATCATTCAAATATATTTATGACATTTTAAGATGATCAATTAAAGTCAAATTTGGATAAATCCCATGACATAAGAAATATGACCCAAAACAAACAATCGGGTCTAACAGCGTTTCATTACCACAAGATCTCAATCGGGTCTTATCTAATCCCTCTCTAAAACCCCATTTGGAATTGATTCAGTTTTCGATTTCACTATTCGTTTTGTTGGGCTATTCCATGTATTAAAGTTCGTTCGAATTTCTTCAAAAAAGGCAATAAGTAAGTTCGAATCAATTCGTTCTGTTTAACTGTTTTGGTATGGGATAGGTCTTGAATTGTTTTTATTCATTGCTCAGCTTGTGTTCATCTTCGAAGGGGTTCTTTCAAACCCAGAAAAACGGTGCATCCCCATGATATAATGGGTATATATGTTGGAATTTATTGATATCATATGATCAGAGAGAGACCCAGTTGGTTCTCTTTCTCTTATCTTCCGATGCCGACGCATACTCGACACGTGCTTGCTGAAGTAACTTACTTCCAAGTTTCAACAGCGCCGAGTTTCTTCGCTCTTGCGGCACCGTTGTTACTGTCGAGAGAAATGATGAACAGAGAAGTTCATAACCTGTACTGTCACTTTATAAATGGGATTCGATTCCTTTGTTCTTACTAGTGATTTTTCTGTAAGTATTGATTTGGAATTTCGTTTTAGTTCTATGTTTGGATTAAACGATTTTTTTTGACTTTGATCTTGTGAGTCGAATATTGAAGTTGCTTCATTAATGGCCTTTGATACTTTTAAAGAATCAGGTGGAGCCCATTTCAGAAAATAGAAAAGTGAATGTAGTATTGTAATCTGATCCTGTGGAATGTTTTGTGTCGGTTCAGGAAGTGTTAAGGAAGAAGATTGATTCTAATGGAGGTTTCGATAATGGTTCATGTGGGATTGATCCTTTTTCTTCTATGGTTACTTTCCGCTTACAATTGCTGCCATCTTGCTGCATATTTCATCTCCTTCATCTATCTCTATCTGGTAATGTTTAGCCATGTCTTTTATCATCTATTTGAATTGCTTACGAGCCATACCCTTTTCGATATGCCCAAGTTCACCGCTAACAGGTCGTTGTTGTGGCCTGGGGTTGAATCTTCCCCTTTTCAGTAATGAATTTCTATGATCTTCTTTTTCAAAGGTGCATGAACGGTTCTTTTGGAGATTGAGGAAGAAATTCAAATTTGAGGAGAGAAAGCAAGCTAATCAGAGAAGGGTATGATTTCTTTCCCGTTCTTGCATTAAATTCATAATCGGTGAAATCCCGCATTGGTTCTCGAGAGGAAAACGAAACACCCTTTATATAAGGGTGTAGAAACCTCTCTCGAGCAGACGTGTTTTAAAGCTTTGAGGGGAAGCTCGAAAGGGAAAGCCCAAAGAAGACAATATCTGCTAGCTGTGGGCTTGGGCCGTTACGTAAACACATGTTTATTTACTGAGAAATTGAGAGGGAAGACATTTTTTTTTCTGTTCTTTCTTTGGTTTCTTTGTGATGCGTTTTGATTGGAATCGAATGCGATTTCTCTTTCGTTTCAGGTTCTTACGGATTCTGAAACAGTTGGATGGTTAAACCATGTGGTTGAAAAGATATGGCCTATATGTATGGAGCATATTGTTTCTCAGAAGATTCTCCTCCCAATCATACCTTGGTTCTTGGAGAAGTACAAACCATGGACTGCTGTATGATTCTAATCTGATACTTCATTTACCCGTTTTTTATATTGATACAACGAATTTGAGCAATTCCCTGTCTTTACGATATCGTACTTCCACTAATACGTTCTGCAAACACAAGCACAAGTGTTACAAGTATAAACTAGGACATGATTTCTTCTCGTTTTTTCGATAATCATAATTTTATATCTGTACAGCTTTTTGATGACCAGTGTATGATTGCAGAAGGAGGTTGTGGTTCGACATCTATATTTGGGAAGAAACCCGCCTATGTTTACTGAAATGAGGGTTCTTCGTCAGCCTAGCGAGGACGACCACTTGGTATGCATTACTTTTTCGTTGGATTAGGACCCTATACACACACACACACATATTGTATTTTGTAGCTTCGAGTTTAATCGCGTTGAATGAACTAATTGCAGGTTCTGGAGTTGGGAATGAACTTTCTTACAGCTGATGATATGAGTGCAGTAATTGGGGTGAAGCTAAGGAAAAGACTTGGGTTTGGAATGTGGGCAAAGTTACATCTAACAGGAATGCATGTGGAAGGAAAGGTACAGAAACTGTTGTTGTTTGTAATGGAGTAATTTGGAATAGTTATTAGTATGTATATTTGTGAGTCGAAAAGTAGATGTGTGAGATCCCACATTAGTTGGAGAAGGGAACGAAACATTTCTTATAAGGGTGTGGAAACCTTTTCCTAGTGGACGCGTTTTAAAACCTTGAGGGGAAGTTTGAAAGTGAAAGCTCAAAAAGGACAATATCTGCTAGCGAAGGGCTTGAGCTAATACAAATGGTATCCGAGCTAGACACCGGGTGGTGTGCCAGCGAGAATGCTGGGCCCCCAAGAGGGGTGGATTGTGAGATCCCACATCGGTGGGAGAGGGGAACGAAACATTCCTTATAAGGGTGTGGACGCATTTCAAAACCTTGAGGGGAAGCCCGGGGTGTGGACGCATTTCAAAACCTTGAGGGGAAGCCCGAAAGGGAAAGTCCAAAGAGGACAATATTTGCTTGCAGTGGGTTTGGGTTGTTACAAGGTGTGTTCAAATATATGCGTGATCTTTTAAGGTATGTTTGGAAGTTATTTTGGAACAAGAAAAATTACTTTTGTTATCCCTATTTTGGTGATGTAACGACCCAGATCCACCACTAGCAGATATTGTCCTCTTTGGGCTTTCCCTTTCGGGCTTCCCCTCAAGGTTTTAATACGCGTCTGCTAGGGTAAGGTTTCCACACCCTTATAAATGGTGATTTGTTCTCCTCCCCAACCAATGTGGGATATCACAAGTGATCTTGGCCTTTCCAAGAACTAATCCTGTAGCTTTCCATTTTGTTTCCCATTATTGTTCTATTATCGGAAGAGGAATACGCAGCTGATCTTAAAGTAGAGCAAGAATTTGTCTGTAATGTCTGACAACTTTTCTGTCCTTTTTCAGTTTCCTTGTCAGTAGTTGTGTTGTTTCCTTACAAGAATCATGTACTTGCATCATTTTTTACTTCAATCATTTTTCATGTCCCTTCTCAAGGTTCTGGTTGGTGTGAAGTTTCTTCGGGATTGGCCACACCTCGGTCGTATTCGATTATGTTTCGCTGAGCCTCCATATTTTCAGATGACTGTCAAACCCATCTTTACACATGGTCTTGATGTTACCGAACTTCCCGGGATCGCTGGATGGCTGGTATAATACATCTTTTATTTAAACATTTTTTACCTTCAACTTCGTTTTCGTTATTTTCCCTCGATTTCTCTTGATGCTGGCAAAACTACGCTTTACTGCTTACCTTCTCATTCTTGGTCTAAGTACTGTCATTTTTTCTTTTTTTGGTTTCTTTTTATCAGGATAAACTGTTGTCCGTTGCCTTTGAGCAGACACTTGTTGAGGTGATAACACCTTGCTTCGTAGTTTTTGAATCTCGTTCATTTTTGTTTTAAAATTTTAAATCCGTGAATGGAATTATATTCGAAACGTACACTTGAATGTTCATATTTCATGTTATTGCGTATGCTTTGCAACAATATTTACGAAGTTTTGAGTTATCTGAATGTTTGCAGCCCAATATGTTGGTTGTTGACATGGAGAAGTTCATTTCACCACAATCAGGTACTTAATCCTAAACACAATGCAACATTCAACTTGATCAAATGAAAATTTTGAAGAATGGTTAAACTCAACCTAATGAATAGAAAGACGTCATCTTAAGGTCCCGTTCGATATTAGCTTTTGAGTTTTGAAAATGAAGCTAGTTTTCTCACGATTTCCGACCATTATTTTAATCTTTCTTTAAGTAACCAAGTTATCAAATCTCATAATCGTGTCAAGCAGCATGATATATTGAACGCTGGTCACCAGCCAACGACCTGTAGTTATTACGGAAAACATGTCTTAATATAGTTTCATATACTACACTATTTGTTGGAACTCTTAGACCATGCAATGATTGATCAATGTCCGGTAGTACTAAAGGTAGCTGGTTCTCAAAAATTTCTGTAGACTAAGCCAGGGGCTGTGAGATCCCACATCGGCTGGAGAGGGGAACGAAATATTTCTTACAAGGGTGTGAAAACCTCTCCCTAATAGACGTGTTCTAAAATCTTGAGAGGAAGCCCAAAGAAGACTATATCTGCTAGTGGTGGGCTTGAGCTGTTACAAATGGTTTAAGAGCCAGACACCAAGCAGTGTGCCAATAAAGACACTGGCACCCAAGGGGGGTGGATTGTGAAATCTCACATCGCCTGGAGAGGGGAATGAAACATTCCTTACAAGAGTGTGAAACCTCTCCTTAATAGACGTGTTTTAAAACCTTACGGGGAAGCCCAAAGAGGGTAATCCGGTTTAGTTCTGTTCTTCGTATGCATCACTCCATGGTCTGCAAAACCCTTGGCTTGTAACTCTATGGTCTGCAAAACCCTTGGCTTGTACTCTATTGGCTGCTTTATTTATAGTTCCTAGTTATAAATAATCTTATCATACAGAACATTCTTCAGCTTTCAAAATTTTTTCAAGTGTCTGCATATGCTTTGATGTTGATGGATCCTTCTACTTGTCCATGACATTGTATTTCCAGAAACCTGGTTCTCGGTGAACGTGAAGGAACCCGTTGCCCATATTGTGGTTGAAATTATTGAAGGAGCAGACATGAAACGATCTGATCTAAACGGTTCTTCCGATGTTCTTCGACTTATTGTATTATAGTTCTCATGATTCTCTTACGTGACTTGTGAACTTGGCTTACAGTTGAATCTTTCTTTCAGGTCTAGCTGATCCATATGTAAAAGGCCAGTTGGGTCCATACAGATTCATGACCAAAATACAAAGGAAAACACTGTCTCCGCAGTGGCACGAGGAGTTCAAGGTCCCAATTGTCACATGGGAGTCGGAAAATGTGCTTGCTATTGAAGTTCGTGACAAGGACACATTCGTCGACGACATGCTTGGGTTTGTCTTCAAATTTGTTACTTCTATGACTACTTCTAGAATATGTTTGTCAAGAGTTTTGATCTTGAGACATCGCCTATTTCTGCTCATACGAAGTGTTGACGAGATTTGATGTAGTTCTTATGTCTTCGGTTTCATCTCTCCCCTTCCTTGTTCCATTTTTCTTGTGCTCATGATCCAATCTAATATTCTATTTGCAGAAATTGTTCCGTCGGCCTAGCGGACTTGAGGGATGGAAGACGACACGATATATGGTTGCCTCTTGAAAATATTAAAACGGGTCGATTGCATCTCGGGATCACTGTTTTTGAAGACAAAAAGAAGGTTCTGTTCTTTCCCTTCCTTGTCCTGTCCTGTCCTATTGGATAATGAAATTCTTAACTGAGATTTGTAATACTACTTTAGGCGGAGTATCCTTCTCCCAAAGGGCCCTTGAATGTGGGAGAGCCTCATAAGGATTCCCCTAGAAGTGAAATCAAGGATGACAAGGATTCAATCTCAACTATACCAGTGGAGTCTCAGAGAGGGATAGACAATTTCGAGCCAATCGACGTTGAAGGGCAAAACGAGACAGGAATATGGGTCCACCGTCCAGGAAGTGAAGTTTCAAAAACTTGGGAGCCTCGGCGACTTGATACCAAAATTCCTAGGGAGCCTAATGAATGCAGTGGTGAGATAACATCCTTTAATAGTGATTCTAGCAGCTCTGATGATAATCCTGAGGATAAACGTCGAAGGGTATCAGTTCGCAGAGGACTAAGAAAGTTGAGTTCAGTTTTTCACCGGAGTCCTCGGGGTGAGGGCCGGTCGGGTAGCTTAGAGGAGACTGTTAAATCCCCCCAATATGCCAATATTAGGGCCTCAAATGCCAAGGAGGGAGGTGTTAAGGTTATTCTCTTAGATAACATCTCTGGAACTGCTTCTGATAGGGTATCAAAAGACGGGAAATCGAGCAACGACAGTAGCGATTCAGAAAGCCCAGGAAAGGAGGGTGGTAAAGTGAGAGGCATGGCAAAGAGCTTTTACAGACAGGCTGAGAAATCTGCTCGCAATATCAAACACGCATTGACACACAAAGGGTTGAATAAATTCCAAAGTGATTCATCAGGAATGAATGAGAGAGATGGTGCAGAAGAATCAGAATGTTGTGGTGATGAACCTGATGTGCCAGCTGAAGCCACCACCGCTGCAGCTTCTCACGGTGATTCGTTTAAGAAGGAGAATGTGGTGGCCACAGGTTCAAGTGACAATGTGAAGGACAATGAGCAGCACTCAACAGAGAAGCTTAATGCAGCACCCTTGGAGAGGATAGAAGACGATGAAGATGATAAACCTGCAATCAACAGTGACAAAATGATTGGAACTTCAAAAAACATGTAGAAGTTTGAGAATTTGTAAACGGAATTCCTGTAAAGAGATGGTATAAGCTATAAATATTGTGAAGTTCATAGAGAAAAGCTCTTCAGCTCTCTTCAGCATCATATTTGGTGTACACACCTGTTAAGGCAATTCGTCGAGCACCTTGAGTGCAGCATCCAAATCCCACTCTCGCACAACCCTTAAACGAGTATGCTAAGGCAACAAGCATCAATTTCATGAACAACATCAAACAGTTTCGCCGGAACTAAGTAAATTAAGCACAAAATTGAAGGTTTTAACACTAGGCCAGCAGTTATAATTGGGCATATCGAAAAGGGTATGGCTCGTTTTACCTATAATCTTCATAACGTGGTAGAAACATCCATCGGACAATTCCTTTTATAATTTCTTAAAAAAAGAAATATATATATATAGATATAGATATATTGAGATGAGCGTGGATCAAACACGCGACCTTCAGATCTAATCTGATTCTCTCTCAACTGAACTATCCTGCAAGTTAATGTTGCAATATATCAATTTATATGGTTATGCACATACACATACAGGTAACTAGTTGAATATTAAATTTCTTGGGTTGAACTCATTTCTTTGTATTTTGAACTTATTCTTTCTGTTCTTCGTATTTGATAACATCATAGATGTTTTTGAGGAGTATCTATAATCGAAGATCATCCAAATGGGATTCAAAGATTGACACCTAAACTCTGTATTCCTATATCCCATCCTGTCCTGATTCACTAATACCTATACATAAATTTTTGGAGGATGATTTCTCACCCTGGTATGACACTATACAATATGTACTAAACACATTCATTCATTCACTCAAATAATCACTTATGCTTCCGTTTCCCAGCAATAATTGGTTGGATATGCAGGTGCCTGTTGAATGCCTCGTTGAAGAGGAAACGAGTCTGGAAGTCCGATATATTTGGAAGCCATGCCAGCATAGCTACAGGTGCGAAAATAACGACACCCATACCGTAATCATATGATTTGGCAAGAATCCTGGTGAAGTCCCACAGCCAAGTGTGCTCTATTGTTGGCCTCACAGTTTGTGCAAACTAAACCAAGAGTGCCAGTCCAGTCAGTCTCAGATCAAACCAGGGAGAGAGTGAGAGTGAAAGGGAAGGAGACAAGCTTACCAATGTCAATCCCCATCCAGTTGGAAGGAAGGCTAGAGAGCAGACGACCATGTCCTTCAGAGATAAATGACAGACGACCGATAGCGAAATAATTACCGCTACAACGCCAAGGAAGAGAAACGCTTTGAATAATCTGAATACGAAATGATAGTTGGCACTGAATTGCTGCTTCCCCAGGTTTACTGCCTACATTTGCACACCATGTGTATAATGTCATTCACAAGAGAGTACAACTTTTTCTTGAACATAGAAAAGGATGAAGGCTGCAAAGATAACTTCAAATTTAAGAAAGTTTGAGAACTAACCTTGACTAGTAAGAAAATTGCAGCAATCACAGCCCAAGAAAGAACATAAACCAGAAAATTACTGCTATGTTGGGAGATGTCGAGGTGATATACGAGCCCGTACTGATATATGAAGAACCTTAGTGAGAGAAGTACTTCGATCAACCTCGAAACAAGTCCTGAATGACGAAGGTGGGCTTGTTCGTCGTCCCACCAAGACTGCCAACTTTTGTCCTGCTGAACTCCTATACCACCTTGCTGCTTAATCCATTTATTCCATTCTTTCCAGTCATCTACTATCTTCGCCCAACTGAACCCAGAGGGATTGAACAGAAATGGTGCGAATAACCAAGTAATTGACATGAACCAGATGGAGTAAGTGATCAACATATATGCCATGCTGCTCTGATAAGATCGCCTGAACAAATCATAGACAACCAACAGAAGCAGTAGCTCGAATCCTTTAACGAAGTGACTTCTCGAATACAATCTGTAGTTTTCAGTGAAACTGGCAGAGAAGACGACTACCTTACGCCCAGTAGGTCTGTACTTTGCTCCCCCATGAAGTATTGTGCGGCCGAAGTAATGAGTTTTTGTTCCCAATGAAAATGTGAAGAAGACAACTGCTAACTGCAACTGCATGAGGACGAAATCTTTGAGGGCTGTAAGAAATCCTCTTTCAAGTCCAATTTCCATGACCATTGGTAAGCCTGTTAGGAGCCCAAGCTGTATAAATGACTGTGAAGCAAGAGCTGTTTCCAAAGATCGGACATTCTGCATTCTAGCTTGAAGAAGAAGAGATTTTTCCAACCCACTAAGAACAAGGTATAGTTGTCCGTAGAGGAAAACATAAATTCCAAGTACTGATATCTGTGCAGCGAATTGGCTAATCAGTGAGAGATGGTACTAATAAAGGAAATAAGCAATAAAGAGAGATACGTTACCAGACTACTGAAATAGTATCCAATTGTAGTGTAATAACACGATAGCATCCTGAAGAAATCGAATCGCTGCCCAAGGCGATATATGTCCCGACTTAGAGTTTGTTCGCTATTTCCATTTGCTATCTTGGCTTCAAACTTGGAGATCTGATTCAGTCCTACATCACGGCCTTTGCCTATTTGCATGTACTCATGATATGTAATATATCCCCTACGTAATGTAGAGTTGAATCCTATCCATAAGAAGCATTTGCATGTTAGCAATGTTCAACATTATGGATAGAGTCAAGCCACTTATTCTTACCTGCATAAACATCTTCGCTCAAGTTTATGGTTCTTGATGCTTTGCTAATGCCACCTCTCGTAATGTGAAACACCCTGTCGAACACATCTGGGTGTCCGTAGTGGAATCGTACCCTGGAGACAGCATTCGAAGAATAGTTTTTAGAAAGTCAGGAAGAGGAAAAGGGATGACTAGTCATGAAATAGTGTCGAAGAACTTCATCGGAAAACGAGGCACTCAAAGCAAGAGCGTGTACTGTTAGTGCATGAAAAGATAGAAGCATGACTTATTGCCTTCCAATCTGCTGTTTTTGCCTTAATTGTCAACCCATCAATCTAATTAATTAGTGTTACTGTTTGAAATAGAACAAATTCCAAAACTGGATTTTCTTGCCAGGAGGAAGGAGGGAGGGCCTACTACTAAAAGTTCAACACCTAATTATTGCCCAAACTTGGACAATGAAATTGCAGAACCCACAAATGCATTACCTGAGAGGATTGGCAAGAATTCTTTGACCGATCGTGACAAAACTCGTCTCTTGATATGACATGAACCATGCTAAGGAAGAAACACTGCAGTTCAGGTTAAAAGAAAACCCAAATTAATATATGATCTTCAACTATAGCAACCATGGTAAACATTTCCTTCATAGAAAAATCTTTCATCTTTGATATGTTGAAACAAGTTTATGGTACAATTACAAAATCAACTCTAATAATTAAATATCAGATAGATTGAGAGTAAAAAAAGTAAATCTTTAGACTGTTCCTAATACTCAAATAACGATAATGAATTCAATAACAATGTAGAATCGATCGGTCCATCATTTGAAAATTTGCACGCTGGTCTCTCGTCAATGGTTGAGACCAGCACTTAAATTATGAGAGATTGACACAAGTCTATTTTTAGTAATCACCTCATAGAGGTCCAACTTTATTAACCGAATGCGTTTGACTGTGTTGGTGTGACACGAGTAATTCGGGATTAATTGATCAAAGCAGTAAATCTGACCTTCCAGTAAATATGTGCTCTCTTAAACCCAGAATTGCAGGTGGCTTTCGTACTTTGGGATTAAAAAATTCTTGAAGAAGATTTCTCATCTTCAGTGCCTCTTCAAAATAATTATCCTGGTGAAGCGCACACCATAAGAATAAGCATGAGAACTACTAGTCATGTTAGAAGAGGAAGGCCTACCTGGTTCATATCAACTGTTTGAAGAGCTTCACCACGTGTGAAAATTATAGCATGATTTTGGTTTTCGGGCTTCCCTTCTCCAAGGTGTGGCGGACCCGGAAGCTTTATGCTGTAAATTTCCTATAAAATGGAATTTACCATGTGAAAGATTTATAACATAATGACTGGAAAAACTACATGGAAATGCAATGGAATTCATTTACAAATATTCAGTGGCTTACAACATAAGTAGGTAAGCAAACTACCAACTAATTTGCCAGAAGACATATCACGGTAGTGTTCGTTAATGAATTGTGAATCTATTGCCATAAAGTAGACCGAAAACCATGGTTCCGATGATTTGGTAATATGGATGTTATGATTTATATGATTATAAATAATTCAATTATACTTTTTTTCTAATACCGGATACAAGATTTTCACAAATCTGCAATCACATAAGACTTTGTCAGCCTCTTTTTTTAATCTAATCCTTTCAAGCATAACGTTCTCTTATCAGAAAAGAAAGTAGAACCTTGTGCAAGTGTGTTACCCGCAACTCTTTCACTTCCTAGCATGAGTTCGGATTGTTCACAATATTAGGACCCAAGAACATGGGAAAGGTAAAAGAGTAAAATGTTATTTTGCTAGAATCTAAGTGATAGTACCTAAAATGTGCTATTTATATGTCTTATTTCATGCTAGTATCGTCACTCTTATTCTTTATTTGCCTATGTTGTAAGAATTGAGCAACTTGAAGAAAATCAAAGTGTTTTGGATAACTAAGGAATAAAAATGAGCTATTTGGCCTAAATCAAGCAACCGACTCAAGTTCCAAAAGGATAACGCTCAATGCTATGGAAATAGCCCAACAATGCCACGCTCGACACTCCTCAATGTTGCAGTTTTAGGCACTCAACGCCAACAGTGTCTCAACGTTGTCTATCAACATCTTGACACTAGAAAGACGCACACACTCCAATCTTCATCCGTAGCATCTCAAACACTAAAAGTAGTGTCTCAATGTTGCATTTCCCAAATGCAATTTTTCTTCTTTCTCGAAGTAGCGTCTCAAGTAGCAATAGAGTTGACTCGTGTGTGTTTTTGTGGTTTTTCCGTGATGTCATAGTTTGCATGATAAAAGTCTAGGATATAAAGAAACAAATTAGTTAGGTTGTAGCTATCTTGCCTAGTTAGTTTGACTTAGTCCTTCCCATCATTCTTAATGTTATTATTTAATTCTTATGATACTAGTGAGAAGTTCCTTCTGGAGGCCTACATTT